CACGTTGCCAACAGACACACTCATTCACTCACTCATACACGCACGCACACATACTTCACGCATGCAACGCATCGGCCAAGTCCCGCCGTCTCTTCGTGCTCGTCCTGGAGCCGAAGCGTCTCGCGCCGCGCGGGACGACCGCGAGGGGTAAATGGAGTCATGGTTTGTTCGTCGAGGCCAACGAGAACGCCTCGGATGCAACGGTATACGTCATAACATTCCCACGGTGGATCGGCCGGGCGTTTCTATCCGCGGAGGTGCGTTGGGGAATCACGTCTTGCCGTGACTAATCGCGACTAAACAACGCTTCCAATTCGCGGGACATTCGGCTTCGGGGGAGGACGCGCCTCGTCTGCGCGTTATCCCTCTCCCAGTTCCCGGAGTGTGGCGTAGCGCACAGTTGGATGCAGCCGCGAGCGTGCTTTGTCCCGCCGTCAATTTAAACCAGTTACTCGTTGTGCAATCTCCTTCCCCCGATCAGCAACCTCGCTCGCAACCTTGCGAATATAGTAATCGCGAATATCCCGATATGCAAATCGAGACTGACACTTGATCCGCGCGGATATACCGTCGTATCTCTGAATCATTTTTCACGCGGAATATAGTGAAAAAGATGTTGACATACTCGGACATAGCAGCAACTTTACTAGTCGGCTTGTAAAGGCTTGCGTCCACTCATGAGTGACTCACGTGATATTTATCACAGAATGACGACACAGACACACGGAAAAATTATCAAAATTTATTCAAACCAATATATATCATCTATATGGTCAGAATTTCATAGCAAAAGTTACTATGGAATTTTGTAAACGCAGAATGAAGCGACATTCTGCAATAGTTTATTATCTTCACGTGTGCTACGTTTATTTTGGGAACTGAAGTGTGCTGTGTGCTAAAATTTGCCCATGTTTCCAGCGAAATTTATTATGTTTCTTAGACAGACCGTACTGACACTATATTCCTGCACTACCAGAGACATGGTAAAAAGAATTTATGTATCAAGAGTGGCTGTAATATATATTCTCTCCGTGTAAAATGTGACACGAAAGTCTGAGTGTAACTTTTGGAAAATTATGATTGTGTTGCATCAAAGTAACAAAAAATGTACATTACATATAATATAAATCTAATAATGATTAATTCAATTATCACTAATAGAGAAGTAAAAAGATTGTAGCCTCACTCACGTCATAAGAATTATGAAGGTCTGTCTGCGTGCTCACGCGCTCGGCTTTCTTAATTAACATGAACGATCTACGCGTTGTGTGACGTACGAGCTACGGGCCGCTGCCGGTGGACAACACGTTGTGTCCAGATACGCTCCAACGACCCGGGTTTCGGATTTCGCAACAATGCTCCGCAGCGGGCGATCCTCTCGGCCGACTGGTCGAAAAACTACGCAAGAACGGAGCTGAAGAAATAACGCTGAGAGCGGGCGACATGGCACGCAATCGGTCCGTTCATTATGACCTCTCCATCGGATAGTTCCCGCGAAATCTTGGAAAGCGCGCATTACTTTTTACCATTGCGCCGCACACGGCGCAGCTAACGGTGTCCGCGACGGGGAGAAAAGAAGCGGCGGGGTTTCTCTCTCTCTCTCTCTCTCTCTCTCTCTCTCTCTCTCTCTCTCTCTCCCTCCCTCTCTCTTCTCCCCCCTTTCTTTCCCCCAGACAGCGAATTAGAAATTACAATTAGCGTAAACCCGTTGCCTAATGCGCGCCTTACCGGGGAGCGTGAGAAAAGCGAACGGTCCGCGATTTTTGCCGGACGCTAATACGCGCCGATAGATTACGGCCGCGCGCGGATTATTCAGCCGCGCGATCGGCGGTACGGTTTCGGTTCGTTAGCGATTTAATCGCGCTTGGAATTGGTATCCCCGACCGCGGCGGCCGTGCTAAGCAACTTCTTATCACGCACCTACCGCGTCCTCGGTTCGAGACACGGGCTGGAAACGCTGTCCGTGGGAGAATTTTATTATACGGGCGCGCGGCGCACAGGAATCTCGTGGAGCAAAGCCCGCGGAGCGAACGATAAGTGGGCCAAGCGACGTCGATGCGACGGGACGATCTCCCGTAATAGTGGTGGTAGTAGACCGACGGACCACGGTCGTCGGACCACCGTCCTTTGTATACACGTTGTTCTATTCTTACTTCCGCTATTCCAGTTTTCTATTTCTAATAATCTATTCGCGTGCGCGCGTGCACTTGCCGTGATCCAATTATAGTCCTTTCCACGATATAATTGGAGTTTTTCTCATTCTAAATGAAGGCCCGAGTCGCGACTAAATTCAATCTTCCGCTTTTGAGAGGAACGCTCGAGCCGAGGCTGAGCCTTCCATTTTTTTTAAATTAATGAACGATACTTGACCGTACAGCACTGCTGTAACTCGTACTTGAACTCGTAATGAATTAAAATGGAAAACATGATGAAAGAAACGTAGAGGGAGAGGTCGGAAATAAATTGGAATTAAGATTATAATATTTGCATATTTTTGCATCGATGTTGAAGTTTCCTGAGATAAATAACGCTACGAATAGTTAATTTCTATTGGTCTCATTTTTAATCGGTCTGATTGCAATTGAATCGGGTTAACAGGCTCACCATTTGTTAGAGCTCATTGCTCGAAATTGATTGCTCGAGTCAAGGTTAACTTTCGTCTGAAATTAAGGCTCAACTTGTGGCTGAATTGAATTTTCCATCGGAGCTGAAGGCGCGGCAACGTGCGTGTTTTCTCAGCGCCGATTTCCGGCATCCCCGGCGAGTGGAGAGGGGGACGAAAATTTCTCTCCTCCTTTATATTTACCTCTGTGCGCGGCATACTCGCGATAAAGTCGCCGAGGTGTGAACCGACTTCCTTCCTTGTGCGCATTGTTAACGGCGGTTTCGGTCGCATCCGTTTTGCGGAGAAAGCGGATCCTTTCGGCAGTGTACTTTAATACGAGCGCTCGCGCGGGGCGCTTCCGGTGCGAAACGTGCGGTTTCCGGCGCACGTACAATATCGGCTACGCGCCACGGCATATCGATAGTCAGTAAGAACGAGGCTCCCGCGAGCGCCGGTCGGATCAACGCGCGGCACACTCCCGGTTCACTCTCAAGACTCGCGTCCTCCAGAACAAAGACCCTCGCGGAGCATCTCGGTTCCTCACGGGGATTCACACGCGATTCGCGTGCTTGTCGCGAATATCGTCGCGCTTCATCGACCAACGAGTGAATTAAACAAAAAAACAAGAAAACATCGTTAATAGTGACGAATAAAAATAAAATTGTGACGAGAAGAAGGCGATGTCCGATGTAGAGGAACAGTGTGCACGAGTACGAAATAATTAGCGTGATTAACAGCCGGCCGATTCGAGTCGAGAGCGCGAGGTCGCGCAGGATCCCGGCAGGATCTGTGGTGGTACCAGCCGACGGGCTCGTCATCCTGGCCGATCGTCTGGAAATATCCCGGGAGTACTCGCGCATACCGGATCGGCGTGCCAGCGTTATGAAATACCAGAGTGGAAACGCTCGACGAGTTCCGAGAGGTGCTTTCGCATTCGAGCTCTTGCATCCGATCGAATTTCTCTCCCTCTTTTTCCTACGCTCTGGAGAACCGCTTTGTTCCCCACACATCTTCTCGCCCTGCCCCGGCCCTGCTCCGGCATGTCTACCTGTTTCCCCGGCAGCTCGTCGCGGTCTACTACCCGCGGAGTGAATTTCCCGCGGCCGAAAACGTCGATGGCCTATTTCTTCCGGCGGCGACGCCGCCGCCGCTGCTTTGATTCCCCCTTGATCGTGCCTCGAAAAAGAGAAATCTAACGGCTTTGCGGTTAACACCTACGCGCGCAACGATCGGTCGAAAGGTCGAAACAACTTTTCAGCGACAGCAACGAGACGTTCGTAAATTAACGTTCGTGTCGAGCGAGCCCCGACGAAAATGAAAGATTTCCTGGCGGAAAAGGCACTCTCCGTACGCCTAATAACACTCTACGTTCTTCTCTACGCGTGTGACTCCGGAAGAGTGTAAAAACAGTGTTATTAAACGTACTAAGAGTACTTTTTTCTCTATAAAAAAGAAAGAGAGAGAGAGAGAGAGCAGAGGAAAAGATAAACATCTTGATGAATTCGCCATTTTGCGCAAAAGTAAAAGCTTAGTTAGATGAATCAATTTCTGGTGAAGTACCAAAGATTCAGAAATTCCCACTAAAATTATTAGAATTCTGTTTAAAGCCTATATTAATGGCTGTCACTTGTCAACTTGTCTCAAGTGAGATACTCGGATTCCTATTCAGAATCAGATTCAAGATTTTTTGTTGAATTCTGATAAATGTGACTTTCATATCTGTAGCCGTACGGGTCGATCGAGAAAGTTTTACATCTTAACTTTGAATTTAAATCTAAATATTTCACTTTAGAAGAATTTCAAGTGACAACTATTAATGTACGGGCTTGAACAGGATTTTAGTCATTTGAAATCTCTGAGTTATTCGTATTTCATCAGAAATTGGCTCGTTCAACCAAGTTTTTGTTTTGTACGCAAAATACGAATGATGTCAATCTTAATTTACTATTAACATTCATTTATTGATTTAATACTATTAAAGTCAATGCTTAATGACTATTAATACAGGTCTGAGTCTTCTGCAGGCGAAATTTCTGAATGGTTTGTATTTCATCAGAAATCAATTCATCCGATCAAATTCTTTTTCCGTACGTCAACGCGATTTAAGCGGAACTTACGAAACAATCTCACGTCGGACTTGCCGACGTGCGATCAATTTTCTTCTTGAACTTTTTCGCAATTTTTTATATCGCGGCCTTAAGAGAGGAGAATATTTAAAGTTATGCGTGTGCGCGCATTATGTAGCTGTCAGCAGTGCAATGCCGGCGTTATGTGAGCTGGCGTTCTCAGCGACTAAATAAAAACAGAGATGGAGAGTTAGTCCGCGCGAGAAATAGTCGCGATACTTATCGTGGCAATTATTAACCAACTGATCGATCGTTCTCTTTTGTTGCAGCGCCGAGATCGTCGAGCGCGGGCACCAACAACCTGCCGCCGTTGACGTTCCACCACGTGCACGGCGACAACATCCGGCTGTGCAATGGCGGCACGATCGCCAGGAGGCACGAGAGCTTTTGCAAGGGTGTCACCTTTAGCGCCAGGCCCGTGCGAGTGGGCGAGAAGGTAAGCGATCGCGCGCGATCTAATCGCGACATTTCTAAGTCGCATTCAACACGCGGCGCATATTAAAATGTGGGAAAACGGCGACTCGCGTTCCACTCGAGAAACCGCCGTTTGCATTCCTTGGATATTAAAACAGACCGCCACGACCATGAGCGCTCTTTTTACGCGGCACGTTGTTTTGCATGTCGCCCGCGTTAGAATTACGAGCCGCCATCTGCGAGACAACGACGACGGCGTATACCGCTTGTAGTTAGGTAACACGAGTAAGTCGCGTGTAACCGCGCGTTAAACGGCGCTCCAAACGACGGACGAGCGCGGACGTCTTCCGTAAATACGCGGAGGCCGGGCGCCGCTAATGAGGCGTGGGTGGGAGCTGCGATTGATCGGAGGCGAGGCGGTGTTCGGCCCAAACACGGCGAATTTCAGCTAATCACACGGGGGACCGGCTCGAGGTCTCAGTGTGTACTCGTGAAATTATGATGACGCGCGCTCCGTGGGAGGCGTTCCTAATTAATTCGCGAGGATGTGTGCCGGCTAATTCCGTTTTAGGATCGCTCGACTCCGTCGCGATTTCATAAGGTGATTTCCGAGTCTCGGCTCTCCACATTAGTCCTGCAAATTGCGCTCAACTTGAAAGACCAACGGAGAATCTCAACGTGTAACACTGTACAAGCCATTGTCCTGCCTTGATGTTGCGAGTGGTCACTTATCGTCGTTCTTCTACGTGCTGAGGCTTCGAGAGGCTTCGAGAAAATTATATAATATTCTCGATATTCTACCCGCATTGAATCTTTTCTTAATTTCAACGAGCAACTGGTTACATAAGTCAGCAATCTTAATTGCTTGTAATTAATGAGCAATGTTTGTTGCGAATGCTAATTATATAAAACTGACTCGACTGCAGATAGAATATGTAAAATAAAGGAATATTAAATAATCTCGCAAAGGTCATCAAGTAATGGTTTAATAAATCAATACATTTTTTTATTTATAATATTTTTGTTTCTTCATGGCCGTTGGAAATTTCGATAGGATTTGGAAATATAAAAGAGGTGAGGAGGGAGCAGTTACAGAAGCAAAGACAGCAGTTGTGTCTTGAATAACGTTGTATATTAAATAGATACTTAAATTTTGCTCGATATTATATCAAGGAAGAAGGATATTAGTGAATGTGTGGACAAGACAGGATTCACGGCCCAAGGAGCATTATTAACATTATCAGAAGTCAACAATCATGATCTTACACTAAATTCGGAGGCCAAAATTCATAGTGTTAATTGATAAATAATTTTAGCTTTATGAATATTTCTGATTATCAGTCAATCTGTGTATATTTCACGAGCAAAAAGTATTGGTCGAAATACTTGAATAATAGTATGAATCTCTAATTAATTATTCTCGCGATCAAAGACTGTCAATAATTCATTACAACTATGAGTAATGGCCCAAGTTTCGACTCGGGTATCCCCTTGTTGTTTTCGATAAATTCGTCCGTCAAAATCTAGAACATTTCGTACAACAAATGATTTGACATACCTGGAAAATATGTATCGCCGTTCACGTCTGGTCATCCTGCGTTCTGTGATCCTTCCCGGTCCATCCTGCTCTCGGCTGCTCCGGATATTCCATTGTTGCACTCACACTGACACTCGCATAGACACGATTCAATCGGAGAAATGTATTAATTAACGCGATGCCGGCGAGAGTCCGATTAAATATCTCAAGAGACCACAAGAACAACTGACGACTGACGTACACGTGCTTCGCGTCGCGGTGTGTGCGTCGGCTCGAGACGTAATGACTCGGAGAAGTACGAGACGTACGACAGATACCAAAACAATCGGCAAGAGGGACAAAAACTATCGCCGTTGCCCACGAAAACAATGACGCGCTGATCATAGTCCCGGTGATGGAGGAGTCATAACAATGAATGTTTTCAAAACACTTCACGAGTGCCGCGCGATGTCTCTTTTCACTTTACCGTTTCAAGAATTATCGTACCGAATCTATGTTTAAGTCTCTATCGGTGCTCACCGTTATTTTACACACAATCGCAGTTTCTCATTATTTCTCAACTATTATATATTTCTCACTTCTCATTGTCTTTAAACTTCCGAATCGAGATTTCCAACAATATAAGAACTTTTAAGGAGATCGTAAAGAGGATTTATTGCTTCGTTTTATCCATTTGCTCGTTACTTCTTATTCGGTTATTTAATATTTGCTTATCAAATATAATCTATCTGCAATCGAGTAAGTTACGTAAATCATAAATTATTTATTAAAATAAGCAATAACGATAAAATGCAGGTAGAATATTGATGTAATCAAATATTAAATAAAAATCTTGAAGTAAGCCCCCTTCTTTAAGGCTCAATATGGAGAAAACGATGATATATTTGTTGCAATATTCCGTGTTGGTTCTTTAAGTTGGATGAAATTTGCAGAGTTTACGCAACTAAAATTGTGTGAACTAAAATTGTGACTCGGAAAAGACGGGAATCCCCACCGGGAGTCTCTCCCGCTCGTGTGTATGTATTTACACATACACACACGCACGAACACACGAATGCACACATACATACACACATATACTCACTAGAGACTAAATTATAAGCTGGAATTTTCTCTGCAATCACGCAGGTTTGCGTGAAGTTCCTGGAGATATCCGATAATTGGAGCGGCGTGATCCGCTTCGGCTTCACCAGCAACGACCCGATCAACCTCAGGAGCGGTCTGCCGAGGTACGCGTGTCCGGATCTGACGAACAAGCCGGGCTATTGGGCCAAAGCTTTGGCCGAGAGATTCGCCGAGCGAGACACGGTGCTCTTCTACTACGTAACTTCGGCTGGCGATGTTCACTTCGGCGTCAACGGCGAGGAGAAGGGCCTCTTCTTCAGCGGCGTGGAGACGCGGGGTCCGCTCTGGGCGATCATCGACGTCTACGGCAACAGCACGGCGATCGAGTTCGTCGATCCGAACCGACAACACTTCAACAACATCAGGCGGGGCGCCGAGCACAGCAACGAGGACAACGCGCAGCACAGCAGGCACTCGGCGATGGACGACGCCAGCAACGCCGGCAGGGATGTCGAAAGAATCATCGTGCCGTCCATGCAGAACTTGTCGATGCATCACGAGCCCGACGTCGAGCTGCCCGGGCTCAGGTTTCAACCTGCCGGCGTCATCTTCACCCCGCTGCCCTTCCACTCGTAAGTATCGAGCGCTTGATACTCGCGGTCTCTACTCGCGTTTCATCCGCGTTACTACTTTGGCCCGAGCGAGTGCGTGAAGCTCTTATCAGACTAGGGACCGATTGTTCAAACCTCTTGGTAAGCTACCTAACAAACTTATATGTCTGTCTCTGTCTAATTTAAAGAAAAACCAAAGATAGGCATATGTGATTTAACTGTCAGGTAGCTTACCAAGAGATTGGAACAATCGATCCTAGAGGTTGAAGATAACTGAGGTTGCAGATTAAAGACTGAAACTCGATTATCTCTAATCTGCAATATCTAATCTAATGTGGATCTGACGTAAGTCTAGTTGAAGATCGAAACTCTACCAATCGATCAGAATTGAATAATCCGTCAAATTCCAATCTCTAATCTGCAATACTTCACCTGATATGAACTTGACGTGAGATTAGCTGAAGATTGAAACTTGACGAATCGAGTCAAGGTCGAAATTGATCTGTCCGTCAAAAACTCTAATCTCTATTCTGCAATACCTGTCTGACGTGACTTGAAGTACGTCTAGTGGAGGAGGTTGTCGCTAACGGTCGCTGATTTGCCCGTCGATTCGAGAGTCACGAAAATACGATTCGACATCAGTTCGATTTTTGTCCCTCTTGTAATGCGGCTCGCGCGATTATGTTTTCTAATAAAAATGCTGCGCTATGTCTAGTCTCCTTTTGGCCGCGAAGAACCAAGTCAATGATCATTTTGTCGCGATATATCGTTTCACCGGTGGAAATGTCGTGCGCCAAATGATATTATCCACGTAAAAGTCGAGAGTCATCGGTCTTTCCACCGTAAAGGCGTCTCACGCGCGACGCTCAACGATTCGCTGCACCGTTCAGCCGCACAGAACTAATTCGCCGTCCACTTTTCATGGTTTCCCAAGACGCCCGTCATTAGCGAGCGCCGCCCGGTAACCGCTTCCTGGTTTTCTTTTGCAGCACTCGGGGCAGGAACATCCGCTTCAGCAACCAGCAGTGCGTGGCGACGCGCACCGACACGGAATTCTGTCACGGCTACGCCTTCACGAGTCGACCGTTGCTACTGGGCGAACGGTTGGTCGTGCAGATCCTCTCCACCGAGCCCATGTACGTAGGCGCCCTCGCATTGGGTCTGACTTCGTGCGACCCCGCGCGGTTGTCTGCGGACGACCTGCCGGACGATAGCGATCTGCTTCTGGATCGTCCCGAGTACTGGGTAGTCTCCAAAGACGTCGCGTCTAGTCCGCAACCCGGTGATGAGATCGCTTTCACGGTAACACACTACGGCGAAGTGCAGATGAGCAAGAACGGCGGTCCGCCAAACGTCGTCATGCATGTCGACCAGAGCCTGCAGCTGTGGGCATTTGTGGACGCTTACGGTAGCACTCAGAGGGTCAGGATGTTGGCCAGTAGACCGACATCGCCACCACGGCAACGTCAGAGTAATCCTTCACCAGCTAATATTGTCCAACAGCAGCAGCAGCAACAGCAGCAGCAGCAACAACAACAACAACAACAACAACAACAACAACAACAACACTCAAATCACAGCAACGCCGCTACGGAACTGTCTCGGTTCTCCGAGATGGTGCAGTTTAAGCCGGCGGTGGGCGGCGGCACTGTTCTAGTTGTCAATTTGCCACCTCAGGCAGGCTATCCTACCCCGCCGCCGCCACCTACACCGCAACCGATCTACGCGTCAGCGAACGCGCACAACAGAAACGTGCAGCAACCGTCGCAGCAGCAGCAGCAACAGCAGCAGCAGCAGCAGCAGCAACAACAACAACCAGTGCATCTGTCGTCCGCAGCGGCACCCGCGCCGGTACCACATCCGGGTTCCTCCAGACAGTCCTCGCCGCCGCTCACTGGCACTATGGCCAGCACCGGCTCGTCCACGTATGTGGACCCGGTCACTTACCAGAGTCTGGACGGTACCCTGACGTCGCACTCGCACGCTTCGTCCCACTTGCAGCAATGGAGTGAGAGCTTGCAGCCGACATTGACCGGTCAGCCGAGCGAGTGCTCCATTTGCTACGAGAGGAGCATCGACAGCGTGCTGTACATGTGCGGTCACATGTGCATGTGCTATACCTGCGCGATCCAGCAGTGGCGCGGCAAGGGCGGCGGACACTGCCCGCTCTGCCGCGCGCCGATCCGCGACGTCATTCGCATCTACCGCTCCTGAACGTTGTCCCGGCCGGGTCGTGACCGGGGCCACGTCGTGGACTGAGAGACGAGTGTGAACGTCTTCCCGGTTCCCACCACCGTCGCCCGCGTCCGTCATCGTCGTTATCATCATCACCGTGCTTCCGTCGTCGTTTCCTTCCGCCGCGCCCGTGCGCGCGTGTACGAATAACCCGCTGCGGTTCATCGGAGCGCTTCTCGCCACCGCCGGAACGAACGATACTCTGCCAGTGGCATACACACCACGACCAGCGTCGAAACAATCGCGAGTCGCCGCTTCCTCTCACACTGCCGTATTACCAATTCTTTTCTACACACGTTCTAGTTTCGCGATACGAGACGAAGCCAAGGGGGTGGACGCTCATATACACACCTACCACCCTGAGATCTCTCCGAATTCGTGAAAAAGAAAAATCGTTTTTCACGACGAGAGAAACGACAGTCGCGAGCTATACCAAGCCGAGCCGAATATTATTCTCGCGACATACCTCTATTGAGATCGCGTCGCTGTCAATTAACGTGCCAATTAACGAGGAGCGCGCGGACCATCACCTGCGCGAAGAAAGCAACGGTGCTTTCGGGAAATCGCGATCACTACCGCCGTTTGCGATCGAGCGAGAACGCGGAGATGAGTCGCCGCGGGTCTGTGTGAGAACGAAAGAGAGTGTGAATGTATATGCGTTACGCGTGCGTATGTATGAGAGAGAGAGAGAGAGAGAAAGAGAGAGACATAGTAACAGTCGTTGTAGCTGATCGAGTTGCTGCTTGTGCCGATGATATCCTGTCAAGTCCCATCGAGGGAATGCGTGAGACGTGTGAGTGAGTGAGTGAGGTTACGCGCGATTGCAAAAAGAGATAGATCGATTTTAGATATTTTCACAAGCGACATAATCGTCACTACCATTACCAATTACTACTACTACAACTACTATTATTACTATTACCACTTACCACTACTATTACTACTACTATCGCTCTGATCTATCGCTATTAGTACTACTACAACTACTACTACTATACTACTACAATTACTACTATTACTGTATTACTTCCAGCCTTTGAATTATTTTATTATTTTGCTATTATTTTTTTTTTTTAATATTAACTCTATCGATATGATATATTAATTATTATTATTATTAGTTATTCGTTCACATTGTAACTGTCTTTATTACTCGCGAGCAGCTTCATTTGCCACAATCGCTATTATTTTTACGATTGCCGAGATTATAGTGATGGTTGGTGAATTAACATAGTCACTATATGTAGCGTGATTATTATTTAATGGACCGTGTGTGATTATGTAGAACGAACTTTCCGATCAGACGCCTGGAGCACTTTCAGAGCAAGCTCGTTCGCGCTCCCCCCGCCCTCTCTTAGGATGCGATCGTAGGGAATCTCGTTCGGTTCCAATTTCCGCGACGAGAATGTGACGGTCTCGATATACTGATATTCGTTCGCGTTTCCTTTCGTCTTGGACATTAACGCACGAGAGTCCATGGTCGAATCTGACGTATCATGCCAGGCGGGCTTTTTACCAAAGATCCTGATCGTTTCCCGCCTGCGTTACTTCGTTATCCGCCGTTACTTCGCGACACCCCAACGAGTATTCACGTGCGGACAGCGCGAAGGGCGACGATCGCTTCCACCTGATCGACTTTCATCTTGTTACCACGTTCACGATTGTCGAAGATTCCAAAAGTTCTTCAGCGTTATGAAGTTTCACGTGCTGACTTCAAGATGATACACAACGATCAGTGAGAAATCCCAAGCCTACTGCCAACGCACATTTTCGTCCAGGAGCAGCGCGGTCGACGAGCCGACACGATCATCGTGAAGTTCCTTTTCAATATTTTTCTCCTGCGGCGGAGTTCAGAATGAAGAAGCGGGAAAAAGTTTCGATTCCAAGCTCCGCCGTAATCTCGCTTCCTCGCGCCAACGATTCGCGTCAATTCGTTGGGAAGAGTCGACGTTGTTTCGCCGGCACTCGGATGAACTCGGGAACTTGGCGCTGCTCTTGGTTAGCTATCGTGCCTTGTTAAAGTTTTTTCATTCATCTCAAAGAAAAAGACTTCCTAAACGAAGTCTTTCGTGGATGTATTTATAAACGGAAACGCGTGCGGCGCCCTTTGACCTGTTATTAAACGAAAATGTGAAGCTGTCCTACACATGCACGACTGTTTAATACTGTGAACAGCAGAGTGACCTTTTATCGCGACAATCGTCCGCATTTTATTTCGCGACGCGCCCTTTCCCGAGAAGCGCGAGAGGGGAAGACGGACTTTTTGCAAGTTTGAAGAGAATGAGAGGGAGAGAGAGAAAAAGAGAGAGAGTGCTTTTGAACGAAACTAAATGATTTCGAGCCAAAGGGAACGAGGTGTCTGAGCCCTTACATTAAAAAAAAAAAGAAAAAGTAACTTTTAGCGAGAAGCGAAGAGAAGAGGAGACGATCCTCTCTCGACTATAACTAATGGATGCGCAATAAAGCAGTAGTGAAATCTCTAGTCCAGCGAGCGGCGGATCTTAGGCCGTCAATCCAAAAAGTATGACGAATGTGAGATACGAGGCAAAGCTTTCCTTCTCCGTCAAACAAACGAAGGGGAAAGAGAGTGATAGGTAGACACACGAAGCGAGAGACAGAGAAAGAGTGAGACAGAGAGATTTTATAGATTACGAAGAGAGATGCGAATTATTGCGACGCGCCTCTATGCCAAGCTAAACGGCGCGTCCGCGATCTTATTAAAATGAAGAAAAAAAAAAGATATAACGATAAGGACGATTATTAATATTATTATTCTATTGGTACGACGAGAACGGGAAAATAGTTCCAGATCGTTGCTAACGAGGCGACGAGAATAGAGCGAGAAGAGATTAGAGAGCGCGAGAGAGAGAGAGAAAAAGAGAGAGACGCTCGTGGTTAATCATTATACGACGAACGTTTACAATTTACTCTCGTTATCATCGTTATCGTCGCGGTCAGCGCGATTAGTTGTGTCGTTTATGCCGTTCGTAAGCTTAGCCGTGCGCCTTCGATATATCGTCATCGCTCTACTTACGTTTCTTACTTTGATCTGCTATTCGCCCTTATTATTATTCTTATCAACCTACGACTCTCTATTGTGCGACTAACGGCTATTTAATTCGACGTTTATCACGAAATGCATGTTCGCGAGTGGAAATACCGAAGTGTTTCTTTTTCTTTCGTTTTTGCCCTGCAACGTCCATATATATACATATATATATATATATATATATATATATATATATAAATAAATATACATATACATATAGGTCCGCTATTCCCCCACGTGTCATACGCAGAGAGACACCTGTAAACATAAACACACGCACACAATAAACAGGCGAGACGCGGAGAGAGAGAGAGAGGGAGGAAAAGAAAAAAAGACAGAGACATATATTCGTAAATTTTACACACTGCCACGATACACTTCCACCACGTCTGATGGGGAAGAGAGGGGAAAAATTCTACGACGCGATGAGGGTTTCTCCGACCGTAATGTAAAGATACGCCGATGGAGAGAGAGAAATTTATACATATGTAATATAATTCGTACGCAGCCGCGTGCTGTTCTACATAATAAAAAGCCTATAATATCTCTGAATCACATCGTCTCGTCTTTACGTTCCTTCCTCCCTCCTTCCTTCCCTTCCTCCTTCCTTCCTGCCGATCCCCTTCTGGAATCGCGAGGATTTATTATGTGGGACGTGCAGAAAAAGTATAGAGACTCGAATCCGCGACTGAAAATCCTCGCGCCACGGAGTGAATCTTCTTTCATTTTCTTTTTATTATACGTACACAATACGAGGACGCACTGAGGCTTGTAAATCCGTCGCAAGATGAGCTTCGTGGATTCAGCTATCTCATGAAGGCGACTGAATGCACGAGTATCTCGCGACGTGTCTATAATAAAAGCGATATACAAAGGACATGTACAGGAGACAACAAAAAAAAGACGACGTACAATTGTATGTGCGTGTACAAAATAAAATTGTAAATAAAAAGATGTATATATATGTGAGTATAAGAGGGGGAGAGAGAAAACGATGCGACACCGATAACGTAACATTCGTTTATCCCACCGCGACGCGTGCGTTCTCGCTGCAAGCGCGGGAAAATCTACAATTCTTCATCTTCGATATCCACAGAGTCCGCGGCGACTTCTTTGTAGTCTTTCTCCAACGCCGCCAGGTCCTCCCTAGCTTCGTTGAACTCGTTCTCGTCCATGTTCTCGGCGACGTACCTGACGGAGTGTCGCAATGAAAACGCAGTGACGACGCGTAGGTCAAAGGTGCGCACAGAGGGCCCGCTATCGGCGCTATTTAGCATGAATACATCATTCTATCCTGGCTGTACATCCAAAGAGCGATAAGGACAGAAGAATGCGTCAGCGTTGATAGCACGCTCCCCAAACGCATCCCTATCTCGCGAAATAAGAATTTACGTCGGGGATGTTTACCAGTGCACGAACGCTCGTTTGCTGAACATCAGATCGAATTTCCGGTTCAGTCGGCTCCACGCCTCGGAGATGGCCGTGGTGTTCGCCAACATGGCCATTGCTCTCTGCACCTTCGCGAGATCGCCACCCGGCACCACCGTTGGCGGTTGGTAATTGATCCCTACCTGTCATCCCGAAGCCGACCAGTTGATGTCGAATTTGTGAAAGACCGAATTGAACCCAAATAACTATCTTAGAATCACCCTAGAGTCATCCTAAACGTCTGGGAAGCGCCCCTAAGATGTCTCGAGTACATTCAGGATGACTTTAAGATATCTCGAAGTGTTATGTGAGAAGAGAGCGTAATATCTCGTTTGCGAGCAAGTCACTTCTTTTACAACGCTTGAATCGCGAGTTGCGCAAAGGAACGTTGTTAAACCATTAACCTTGAATCCGGTCGGGCACCAGTCGACGAACTGTATCGTCCTCTTGGTCTTGATGGTCGCGATGGAAGCGTTCACGTCCTTCGGGACGACGTCGCCTCGGTACAGCAAGCAGCAGGCCATGTACTTGCCTCTTCGTGGATCGCATTTGACCATCTGCATGGACGGCTCGAAGCAAGCCGACGTGAGCTCCATTACCGTCAGCTGTTCGTGGTAAGCCTTCTCAACGGACACGATGGGCGCATAGGTCGCCAACGGAAAGTGTATTCTGGGATAAGGCACGAGGTTGGTCTGAAACTCGGTGAGGTCAACGTTGAGGGCGCCGTCGAACCTCAGCGACGCCGTGATCGACGAGACGATCTGGCCGATCAGCCGGTTAAGGTTCGTGTAGGTCGGCCGCTCAATGTCGAGATTGCGCCGGCAAATGTCGTAGATCGCCTCGTTGTCCACGAGGAACGCGCAGTCCGAGTTCTCCAGAGTAGTGTGGGTCGTCAGGATGGCGTTGTACGGCTCCACCACGGCGGTAGAAATCTGCGGCGACGGGTAGATGGCGAATTCCAGCTTCGACTTCTTGCCGTAGTCCATGGACAGACGGTCCATCAGCAGACTGGCGAAGCCGGAACCGGTGCCACCGCCGAACGCGTGGAAGATGAGGAAGCCTTGGAGGCCGCAACACATGTCGGCTATCTTGCGAATCCGATCGAGCACGAGGTCGATGATTTCCTTGCCGAGGGTGTAGTGACCGCGCGCATAATTATTCGCGGCGTCCTCCTTGCCGGAGATCAGCTGCTCGGGATGGAACAGCTGATGGTATGTTCCCGTGCGCACCTCGTCTACAAAACGTATGAACGACCGACGAGTTCGCGAGATTGCAGAGAGTGAGGAGAGCTATGGTTCCGGAATAATTAGCCTGTTGTCTAAATTTCGCAGAAAGTTTCACTCAATAGAAGTGAAAATTCTTTTAAATTCAAGTAACTCTCGCTTTATTTTTCGAGTGGAATTTCACTCTAAGCGATTTAGAGAATAAATTCTTTGGGATAAAATCTCAAACAGAAGTAAATCTTTATTCTATGGATGAATTTGTTCCTATAACGGTGTAGTCACATTCACTGTGAAATTTTGAATGAAAATATTCACAGTTGAAATACTCAGAGAAAATATTCAGATAAGATTTACTCTATATAAGTGAAGTCACTCAAATTTGATAGTCATTCTATCTTTTGAGGGGAATTCCACCAGAAAAACGTTGGAAAAAACACGACTGCCCAAGTATCACAAACGATTTACCTATCACCGTGGGTTCGAGGTCGAGGAAGACGGCTCGGGGCACGTACTTGCCGCCGCCGGTCTCGCTGAAGAAGGTCTGAAAGCCCTCGTCGGTTGCGCAATTTTGTGGCGGCAACATGCCGTCGGGTTGTATACCGTGTTCCAAACAGTACAACTCCCAACAAGCATTACCCATCTGCACGCCTCCTTGGCCGATGTGTACCGAGAGTACCTCACGCTGTCGTTTTTTCGGAGCGCATTAGCTTATCTTATCGAACATATGTCTCGCGATTGATTGCTTTTTTACAATTCGTGTTCAATCATGGCTTCTAAATCCTACGTTCGGAATCTTACGCCATTTGTTGATTTAGCGCTTGCGAATACGAGAAAACACGACCGGTGAGCTGTTTAGCGCGCGCGAACGATCGGAATTTGCGATATTTACCATTTTGGGAATAAAGAATTAGCTTGCAGCTGGAGAACGGGGATAAACGAACAACGTTGGATGTCAGACACCGAAGGCGAACTCTGTCGAAACGATCTGTTTTGTCATTTTGTTTTCGTTGCTGGGAGAAACGACGGGACTCGGCGCGAGGATCTAGGAGGCTTGGAAAATCATTTTTCCGCCGCAAAATAAGCATGTGTTACGCGCGAAAAATTGAAGTTGATCAAGAAGAAATTAAGGGACTCCCTTCAAAATACAACACACTTTTTCCATCATCTGAAAGTGTGTGCGTTGCGCGTGCATTAGTAAGTCGAGAGGGAATCCTACATCAACAGAGGGTTGGCACCCCGTACCAGATGCATTTTTTGAGTAGCCCGCCAGTGGACGAGGTGGCCGAGAGGTTAAGGCGTTGGATTGCTAATCCAATGTGCTCTGCACGCGTGGGTTCGAATCCCATCCTCGTCGAGCAATTTTTTTCCACGCCCAAATAAAAATGAAATTTACACTAAGTATGTACCTGAACACCGATGTGCCATCACAGGTAGCGACGTTCAAGCTGGAAATAAGAAGAAACTAGAAATTGAAAACGCGAAGCAAAACTAGCGAAAATATCTTTCATATATTTTTATATATTTATCATATATTTATCATATATATTTTTTTAGTTAAATCTTAATTAATAATATATACGTGTGTAGATGTACATATATATTAGTTCGATGGACAATTAGAAAACTTATAACAATGTTACAAACATAGACAATCTCTTGTTATGGTCAAACCTACTCTGGGAGGCACTTGGTTTAGCTTCTGTATTCATTAATTAATTGTATTTAATTCATAAATTAATGATTAGTTACTGGCAGTAACGTGGCTTGCAAAAAAGATTTCTCCGTTCGAGACTTCTGAATTATTAGTCGAAACGATATATGTAATTAATACGTGCGCCAAATCTCATCCATCTCAGCAGACAGGTCTCGGTGACGATCGCGCCACATCATCCTGGACCGGTCGATCTCAATGGGGGACTGCGGTACTTTGGCACTTTGGTGTCGGTTATACACGCTGCAAAAAGCGACAGGTGACGAAATGCTCCCTCGTTTATGCTAGCCGATCGACAATTACGTTCAACTTATCAACTTAATCCTCTCGAATCGCATACGACGAACTGTCCGCGAGAAAATGGTGCGCACGCGATTCGAGACGACTAACGTGGCCGTTGATCGTTTTTGAAGATCGTCGGAACGATCAGAACCAAAAGGTACCTACTATCGATAAGTTTCCGACCGGATGTAGTCCATAATATGAGATATGCCCACTCCCAGCTGCTTTTCGATCGGGGTGATCCACGGATTGTTCTCCATCCGCAACATCTCAATGTTACACACCAGATCCAGATTCCCTGCAAAAGCATCCACTTATACACTTATCCATTCCATCGTAACCATCTATCTCTCTCTATCCATCTATGTATTTATCTATTTACTCCAATGAGGCAAGAAGTGCCCTAAAATCCTAAATATGCTTAGGACGTTCTAAGACACTCTTCACGCGTTTTAGACACGTTCAGGATGATTCTGAGATGCCTTATGCTACACTAAGAGAAAAAATTAATGAGAGTAATATTAAAGGAAATATTTAATTAGTGAGTACTAACAGCGTATTTACTTATATCAATATATAAGATATTTCTCACAATAAGAAAATATATATTTTCTTAAAATTTTAAGGGAACTTTATTTTTTTTATAGAAACAATTATTTATTCTATTTAAATAAAAGAATTTAAATTTAAGTAAATATACTATGTTGGTATCCACTAAAGTAAATATTTACTAATTTTTAGATATTTGTTCTCTCAGTTTATTTGAGTATTTATCTGTCTATCTGTCTTATCTACCTATTTCGGGCGGCAACACCGCCAAAAAATTGTCATGGATATGCAGTTTCCTGAGACGAGTCAGCTCCCCAATCTCTTTCGGCAACTCCACCAGATCGTTATTCTCCAGCCCGAGCTAAAAACAGATATCGATCGAAGAATCCACGCGGAAACGAATCTTCTTCACAAAGAATGAAGGAAAATAAGAAAAAGCCGTGAAAGGAAGAGGTCTCGTAAGAGATGCTTACAATTTGGAGATTCTTTAGCTGGCCGATTTCAGGCGGCAGATATTCGAAATGGTTGGTACCCAGATAAAGAGCTCGTAAGGTCTCTGAAGAGAAGAGAAAAGTCAAAACACACGAAGCTACGGCCGATCAATCCTAACGATTATGACTGAGCCATCATGAAGAAGTTGCCAGGCAGATTCTTCTCGCTAAGATTATTGTACGAAAGATCCAACACCTCGAGGACCGGAAACGCACCGAAGCCGTGGGGAAGCACGTCTAACCGGTTATTTCTACAGTTCGAAACGAGAACTTAAGTGTTCGTCGCAACAAATTAATTAATAAGATACGCGTTTCACGAAAGTCGTTTACCGACCCTACGTCGAGGATTCGCAACTTCGGCATTTGCGACAACGAGATGGGCAGCTCGGTGATGTAATTGTTGTAGAGATTCAGTATCTCCAGGTTGACCAGATTTGCAAGACCCGGTGGCACCGCTGCGATAGGAAAGTAAACGTTGGCGTGAATAATCGATTGGAGCGGCAACGCAGCGTTAATGTGTCGCTTGCGGAGGATTACGTCAGGATAGAACTTTACCTTGAATTTTATTGTGACTTAGCGTCAGCCTCGTTACATTGATCATGTTCACTGAAACATAGCAACTGGTAAAGCCCGGCTTCACCTCGGATTGGAAAGTTCGTCATATAATAAGATAAAAAA